GTCAGACGGTGTGACCAACCACACAGAAAAAACATCGTTCAGTAATATATTTTTCCTTTTATTAAAGGACATAAAGGTTATAGTTTTAAAATCGCAATGTTAATGTTTAGGGGTTCTCGTTTTGGGTTGGGTGTAGCCGTGTAGGAACCACTAACTATTGATAAATAAATATAGCTAATCAATAATTACTATTCATAAAACTATACTAGGCCATAAGCCCATAACTAATCAACCATGAGGTCCATGAGTTAGCCTTTATGAGATTTGGAAGACCATAAATTGGTAAAAAGGCCCTAAAACTTTAAAGAAAATGAACACAATTGGGAGACTTTCAATGCAAAAAGCCAAACAAGTAAGAAAACTTATGACCCTTTCCTTTTCCCTCCACCATCCGTGCACATTTGCATCACCACCTTCTTCCACCATCCACCTCCGCTTTCTCAGCCCGTGCAGCCGCACCGCACGCCCTCCATCTTCCCCCCTCTCCTCTATTAGAATGAGCTCCTCTACCGTTGACGGTGGCAAAATCGGCAGTTCCGGCGATGTTGCTGCTACTGAACTGGACCCCATTTTCAAGCAGAAACGCCTCATTCGATCCAAAGTTCGTAAATCCCTTAAGGAAATGGACCCTTCTCAGCGCGCTATTGAAGGTATTACAAAAAAATCTAATCTTTCTTCATATCATGTTGATTTGATTGTATTTGTGAATTGGGGTTTTAGTTCAATTGCTTAATTTGTTGATTTGATTGTAGTTGTGAATTGGGGAATTAGTTGAATTGCTTAATTTGTTGGTGTATTGATTAGATTGGGGAATTTGAGTGGAGTGTTAGTTGGGGGTTGGAATTGTGTATTTTGGAAGTTTGATCACGTGGGTATTTAAATTATGAATTTGATCAATTTCTCTATGAATGAGGAAATTTTAGTTGGATGAACACATTATTGGATCATTTACCAAGAGAAATTTAGTTTTTTTAGAAGATTAGAGGAACAATTGGATAATACTTGCACTCTTTTGGATCATGTTGAAAGGATTCGTAAAATTCCTTATTGTGACGTAATAACTTGATCTTTAAATAGTGAAGGAATGGGGAGCATTGATGACTCCTAGTCTCCTACCGGTCGGATTCTCTAGCTCGAATAACAATATTGATGTGACTATTAATTCCAGACGAAGGAAGTATAGAGTAGTATTAATTTTGTTGTGTATGGCAAACTTTTTGGTAGCACTATTGTGTCCTAAAATGTACTTGTACTGAATTGTATCCATGTTAGCGCAAACTGCATAATATGGTCAATAGAGGGGAGGAGGGGGGTGGGGTTTAAATTCGTGATAACGTTGATAAATTTTTTCTAATTACATCGATTTTATTACTGTACATAGTTTCATTTAGGACCAGCACTGGAATCTAGTTTGATCAATTTGAAAAATTATAATTTTTGATGAGGGGTTTGGTCATATTCTGGTTCCATTTGGTAATAATGAAAGTGCGTGGATAGAAATTATTGTAAGCACATCATGATCTACTTGGTTGCACCTCAATCTTTCTCTTGCAAGAAGTAACAGAAACACATAAAGATCCTTATTTAATTCCTAGAATCAGATAAACTCTAAATTTACTCTAGAAGTGCAACCTAGTTGCAAACTCATGCACACCAAACACAATTACACTCTTCTTTCTCATTGATGAATGAAAGAATACAAAAAGAAGTCACCTCTTTGATTTGCACTGTAAGTTGAAGAGGGTTCTTTGATCCCTATGGAAAAATTGTTTTCTTAGGCATCATTTCAGAATAAACAAAAGTGGACTAAATCTTTGATTAGTTTTGTTAAAAATGTTGTAGCATACTCTCTGGATTAATCTCATATAATAAATACGAGTTGGTGAACTAGCCTTCGGAAGGATAAGATAGAAGACGGGAATTGGAATAAGTTTGGCAGCGGATCACGAAATCTTCTTTGTTACTATTGCATGCTAAAGATATTTGGTACAGGTTGGTCCTGTGGCATGGCATGATGATCTACTTATAAAGTTATAAAGATTTTTTTTATCACTGCACCGAATTCTTGAGTTTAACTATAACCTGCAAAACCTAGGAAACTCAATGCTCTGGTATAAAATCATTGTAATTTTACAGGAGAAGAATTGAATTACTTGAGGAGTGCTCCATTCTGATATTTTTCCTGCATAGTTGAAATGGTTTGACATTGAAAATATCTGAAATAGTGGGGCTTCGCTGCTTGACAACAGACTTTTACCACCGTTTGCTTGCTTCTTCCTGTTTACGTCCTTTTCCTGAATTTCATATGTATAAATTGTCATCACATTTATAGGTTACTGTTACTCACGTATTTTGTATAATTAACTTTCTACTCAGATGATGCAATTCAGCGTTTGGTACTGGATGCTACATGGTTTAAATCTTGCAGAAGGTTATGTGCATATATAAGCTGCCGTGCCTTACGAGAAGTTGATACAACTAAAGTTTTGGCGAAGATCCTACAAACTTCAGACAAAGGTTTGGCTCTGTAGCCCTTAAATCTTTACTTCAAGAACTCTAATCTTTTGGCAGTATACTTTTTCTTGCCGAATGTCAATGATGTGAAGTTAATCAAGATTCAAGAATGTTAATTTGTACTTGATAAATTTAATTTGTCTTTTGTGGCCTGGAAGTGACAGAATTCAATTTACCAATGGCACCTATTAAGACCATAATGTGGAAGTTTAACATGTACTCTGTATTTTATTGGGTTATTGCTGAATCGACTTTCCTAGTCTTTGCTGAAGCTAGTAAATAGAATTCCCTTGTGAAATTTGGATTTACTACTATCTTGAAAGCACTGGTCCAGTACCCTTCATCTTCTTTTGACAATTTTAAACTTTAGTTTTGGCTTGCAGACGAACAGAAACTCGAAGGGAAAACGCTTTATGTGCCTAGGGTGGAGGACAAGAACAGCTATATGCGGATGCTCAACATCTCTAGCATGGATGATCTAATTGCAAATTCAATGGACATTCTGGAACCTGCTCCTGTAGATGGTGCAGGAAATCAACGTGAAAATGGTAGCTTATATATCTAGCTCGTTTATTGACTTGATTCTGTTCTTATGTTATGTGTTGTTTAGGTAACTTATCTGTGACTATAACTGAATGAACTCATTGTATCTACGTCATGAGGTTAACTGAAATTTGGCTTGCCTAAATACAATAGGTCAATAGGTTTTAACTGCCAGCTTTTCTACAGCTCTGTATTGGGTATGTATAATAACGATTCATTTGCTTCAGTACCTAATCCAAGTAAATTGTTACATTTACTTCAGCTGTATATATTTATACTTGGTTTTCACATGTCTCAAATCCACTCTCTACTAAATTATCTATTTTAAACATGATAAAAAAAAGTCCAATTTCCGTTTCATTCTTGTTTGGTTTCTATGAGTAGGGATATATTCATGGTGCTCAAGTGATAAAGTTGATGTAAGGGGAACAGGTTTCCAAATTTAATTTGTGTAGCATAAGTACATCTGGTAAAAAAAATTCTTCATTTTGTTTGTAGTTAGTAGGCCATTAGCATCCTTTGGTTTTGCTTTTCTTGATTATGGATCTAACATTGATAAAAGCAAGTTATGTTATATGATCTCTTGTTGCAGTTATGCATGCAAACGAAGGAATTGACCTCTTGCTCTTACCTGGTAATAAAACTTATTAGTTGCTCTGTTCATGTCCACATTGCTGATATTGAAAGCGTAACCTTTTAGTTGATTTATGTTATTCCCTTCTCCAGGACTTGCATTTGACAAATCTGGAAGGCGCTTAGGCCGTGGTGGAGGGTATGTGGAAAACATTTCAAGTGCCTAATAAAGTGATGTTTATTGATTGGTTTTGCTAATTTATTGTGTGTACAAACTATTACTCTGGTGCTGTGAGGTGTGAACTCCACCACATGTGTCCCTGAGTATGCTTCTCTGAAATTCCACCCTCTCTTTCTTCATCAAGGGAAGATAAAAATGAAAATAGTGCCTATGTGTAGCATACTAGCATGTATCAGGTTCACTAGCATTTAGTTTACCCAAAAAAAAAGGCTCCATTGGCATAGACTACAGGGGTGAAATAGGTCTTCAGAGTGTAATCTTGAATTTGGATGGTTGTTTTAATAATCTTCTAATCTTTATGTTCCAACTTTTTGAAGTTACTATGACACTTTTCTGAGGAATTACCAACAGCTTGCCAATGAGAAGAACTGGAAACAACCACTGCTTGGTATGTTTTATACCCCTCCCTATATTAGCTATCATATTTATTAGGAAATTTGTCTAAAGATCAGATGTATTGATTCATTGATTCTGTTCTGTAGTTGCTTTGTCATATTCTGTTCAAATCTTGGATGATGGAGTCATTCCGATCACGCCCAATGATGTTTTTGTGGATGCCTTAGTATCTCCAGCTGGTATTATTCCCATAAGCTCAGCTGCAATTCAAAGGTATCAAATTGTATTTTTATCACCATCAGTTGCTTTTCTTATAATTACTCCGTTTATTTTAAATGCAACACTTTGACCTGGACGGAGTATTAGCCATATAAATTAAATTGTATAATGTTTCAGGATAAAGAATGGCATATGACTTTTGAGGCGCCAGTGTCACAATCTATTCGTCAGGTAGTAGTCTCAGACTCTGATGTATTCAAAGTTGCTTATGCTTAATCTCTGAAAATGAAATGTATTCTATCAAACTTTCTTGATTGGGTTGTTCAATACCCTGGCTACGTAGCCTTTTTAATTGGTATAGTGACCCTCTTCATTGCTCTTTTTTAATTGAGCTGAGAAACAATGTGGTTTCGTCTGAGAATGCTACAAGGAGAGAACTTATACATGACCACCTGCTAAAAGCCAAAGGTTTTGGGTCACAGTGGAAATTGTTATTCATATATCGAATAATATACGAATTGATAGCAACTTGTGTATTTTTGTGACTAATTGAATTTAGTGTGTGAAAGCTGGTTTATCTTAAACAAAACATGAGCTTCTTCCATGTTCAACAAGTTGAATGAGTCTTTTACCTCCCAAGTCTCCAACCACTACAACTTACCATATCAAAATCAAGGGATTACCTATGTTCTCTCAGCAATGCTAAATTTTCACTGTAAACATCATTTGCAGCAGTCTTAATGAATAAAATATATTTTTGCTTGTCCTTGACAAAGTTGCAAACATAGCCTATATAAACACCTTAATCTAATTCTTCAGACATACAAAACACTCTTCCAAACACATACTCATGGCTGCCCTACTCTGGATGGTAGTTTTCTTGCTAGCTCCTTTCCTCTCCAACGCCGCTGATCCTGATCCCTTGCTGGACTTCTGCATAGCAGACCTCAACTCCTCCCCCACGTTTGCCAACTTCCCTTGCAAGCCTACCTCAAGTGTCACCTCCGAAGACTTCTTCTTCGATGGGTTGATGAAGGAAGGCAACACTTCAAACATGTTTGGATCGAAGGTCACACCTGGGAACGTTCTCACATTTCCCGCCCTAAACATGCTTGGACTTTCAATGAACAGGCTTGATATCGCGCCTAATGGGCTGAACCCACCTCACACCCACCCAAGATCAACCGAAAGTGGGGTGGTGATCAGTGGTAAAGTCCTAGTCGGGTTTGTGACTACCGGGAACGTATTCTACTCCAAGGTTTTGGTTCCAGGGCAGATGTTCGTGATCCCCAGGGGATTAGTTCATTTTGAGAAGAATGTGGGGGATAATAAGGCAGTAATTATAACAGCTTTCAATAGCCAGAATCCAGGGGTAGTGGTTGTGCCCACAACTCTATTTGATGCACAACCTTCAATTCCAGATGATGTTTTGGCCCAAACTTTCCAAATTGATTCAAGCGTTGTCCACGAAATAGAATCCAAATTCTGAAATTTGGCTGGTATATACTAGTCTATGAAGATTTCCTTTATTCTTTTTACGATGTTTCACGAAAATAACTGAATAAGGATTGATGTTTTTAGGCATATTATATTTATTATTAATAAAATAAATGATGTACTCGTAGTTATTAAGCTGCTCGCCTATTCATTGGCTATCAATAAAATTCTTGGAGTTGTATGCGAATTTTGTATTTTGAAGAAAGCCTTGGTAACATATAATTAAGAGATATCTCATTACGGCAAAGCAACTAAGAAAGATATCAACCTTTAATTCTTTATACTACCTCCGTTACAGGTTATGTGTAACGATTAGACATTTTTCCTCTCTGCTTTATATCAAATCGTTGCACATAACCTGTAACAGAGGTAGTATAACAAAATTCACCCTTTTAGTATACATATTATGTTTATTATTAATTCAATAAATGATGTAGTTTAATAGCTGCTGGCATACTCATTGGCAAGATACATCAATAAAATTTTTGAGTTGTTTACGAACTTATTGTTTTGTTTCCTGATGAATGAATAAAGCATTGGTAGATCATCTAACACTAATTGAACGTGATGCATCTAACTACACGGCAAAGAAAGAAATCAACCCTTTATATAACAAAAAAGAGGTGCTTGGCTCATTTAATTTAGCTATAATGGACGGATTTTGAATGATTTAAATTTATATCTTATGTTGATAATTTGGTAATGCCTTCAAGAATATTGTAACCATTGTAATCTTTCAATCCGAACCTTTAAAATTTAATATTAAATCTTGGTTATTCATAAAATTGACTAAATAATAATTATGAAAGTATAATTATTATGATTTGTATATCATAAATAAAAATTAATTTTATTAGAAATAAAATTATTGATAATCATTGATCGATTACTTGTAAAAGAAAGCCCTAAAAGTTTATTTTCAAACCCTTTCATCCGAAATTCGAATTTCGTAGGATGTGAATGTGATGACGTTACATCTTATATGACCAGGCTTAATTTTATTGTTTTTGACGCAGGGCTATTTACCCTTTTTTTGTCCAAAAAAAAAAAAAAAAAAAAAACTTTTAACCCAAGGTACTTTGTTTTAGTCAAGAGATGCATGTTTTATCTTCACACCATTCACGATTTAAAAAAAAATTGGTTTTGTTCATAGTACTCGTGATTCGTACACCCTTGTTGGTAGTTGTAATGGGATATTGCTAATGCGTGATACGTCAAGCGAGGAAGTCGAAAATGTGATGAGTTTATGGAATCCGTCGATAAGAAGGTCATTATTACTTCCTAGACCTCCTTATTCGTATCGACAGTGGGTTATTATGGGATTTGTACCTCGTAGTAACGATTATAAGGTTGTCGCCTTTGGTGGTTATTTTTCTACTAATGTAACGTCCTTTGCAATTTATTCACTCATTGATCATCGTTGGAGGATCGAGACCATGACTAAGGTTAATCGCAATGTTAGTGTGAAGAGATTGCAATGTGGAGGTGGGTATGTTTATTTGGATGGGGTTGCGTATTGGATAGGAGGCTTTCCAAACGAACCTGAATACGAGAGTCATGTTGTCTGCTTTGATTTTGATGTCGAGGAGTTCAGTTTTGTTGAGTTGCCCGATGCAGGGGAAGAAGTGACTGGTAGGATCGCGTTTCTCCTTGATGAGTCGTTAGCTGTTTTCAGTGTTTCTTCTAAAAAGAGCTGTGTATGGGTTATGGAAAAGGATGGTAAAGGAAAGGAGACGTGGAGGGTGTGGTTTTCAGGGGACTCGAATTCAGAGGCTTCCGATTTCATCAAAGATTGCATTTACATGAATGTAGTGATTCTTCATGTTAAGAACACTGATTTGATATTTGTAGTACTCTCTGGAAACGCATATTACTATAACATCAGGACTCAGCAATTAAAACAGTGCGAAAAAACTATTCGCCGTTTAGATTCTGTTTGTACTTATGTTGAGAGCTTGGTGTTGCACTAGGATTCAAATGATTGGTTTAAGAACAAATAGTAAAAGCAATGTATTTGCAGTCTATAATAATAATACACTTTTTTCCCCCTGTTCTTAAAACCTTCTTCTTACATATCATCTATATTCAGATGTTCTTGTGGATTTTGTATTGCTGTGTCTCATTACAAATAATCTGCTTCAGCTATTGTTATATGCCTTGCGCGATAATGATGGTATATGGATACTTTGTTTCGTCTTTTGACCATCTGGTAGTGACAGTAAGACTAAAAATTTACCCATTGACAGCAATTTGTATCATTATTAATTTGAAACTTAACATGGGAATTAATTGTTTAGTGATGAATCTGTTCCTCTGGGATTTGCTGAAGTTAAGTAGATTATTGACAGACTGTTGAGGCTTTCATATGTAATTCCATTTTCTGAATACTGTTTTTCGGTTTCTAAATTATCTCATCATTATTTATCTACGGAAGTTGTTTGAAATTTGGCTTCACTAGATAAACTCAGTTTAGTTTACTGTCTTATATCTGCTCTATTGTTATTAACTTGTCAGTCCAAGTATATTGTTGCTTTCTAACTATTCTGAAATCCGAATGCATGAACTATTCAGGAACTCATCTCTTGTAATCAAGAGAACATTAAGTTGAGTGTCCAAGATGATTGCAGGAAGAATTTGGTGTGTGAAAATCAGACTAATTAATCTTAGGTAAAACATGAGCTTATTCCATGTTAAACTAGTTGAATTAGTCTTTAATTCCATCATAAATGACCAAGTCATTAACAACTACAGCTTATTATTTACTCAATTCTTCCCTCAGCAATGATATATTTTCTTTGTATAAACATCATTCCCAGGTTTTAATCGATTAATCTATTTTTTATGCCTTGACAAAGTCATGTTTTATTAGGCTATATAAACACCTTAATCTTAGTCTTCAGATATCAGATATTATACCAATCAACCTCCTAAAACATACTCATGGCTGCCATACTATGCATTGTAGTTCTCTTGCTAGCTCCTTTTCTCTCCCAAGCGGCTGATCCTGATCCCTTATTGGACTTCTGTGTAGCAGACCTCAACGCCTCTCCCTCGTTTGCCAACTTCCCATGCAAGCCTACCACAAATGTCACCTTTGAAGATTTCTTCTTTGATGGACTCATGAAGGAGGGCAACACATCAAACCTCTTTGGAGTCGGTGTCTCACAAGGAAATGTTCTCACATTTCCTGCCCTGAACATGCTTGGACTCTCAATGAACCGGGTTGATCTTGCTCCTAATGGACTGAACCCGCCTCACTCCCACCCACGAGCAACTGAAAGTGGGGTGGTGATCAATGGAAAAATCCTAGTCGGGTTTGTGACTACAGGGAATGTGTTCTACTCAAAGGTGTTGAATCCGGGGCAGATGTTTGTGATCCCAAGGGGATTAGTCCATTTTCAGAAGAATGTGGGGGAAAAGAAGGCAGTGATTATAACAGCTTTCAATAGCCAGAATCCAGGGGCAGTGATTTTACCCACAACTCTATTTGGTGCACAACCTTCAATTCCTGATCATGTTTTGGCCCAAACTTTCCAAATTGATTCGAGCGTTGTCCATGGAATAGAATCCAAATTTGGATCACCAATTTACTAAGAAGATCATGTTAAATTGATTTTACTCTGAAGATTTTCTTTATTCTTTTTACAGCATTTTGTGAACAAGGATTGAAGCTATATATGCATTTTTACTTTTGTTACATACAATAAATGATGTAGTTTATTGACCTGTTAGCCTTGCTCATTGGCAAAAGACATAAAAATAAAAACATTTTATACTTCTATGCAAAGTTTTGTGTTTTTCATGAACATACTCTTGGTAGACCAATAGACCATGCATCTTCCACTAGTTAAAAGAGCATGCAATAAGGCTGAAAATTACAATGAATAATACTACCTCCCTGGTTATGTGCAACGATTAGATATTTTCTCTCTCTGCTTGATGTCAAATCATTGCACATAACCTGTAACAGAGGTAGTACTTTCTGCCAAATTCAGGATAGTAGCCAAAAATTCTCTGGTATATGTACGATAATCACACAGTATTAGTTTTCTAGCTGTGGTGCATATGAATTATGAACTTCAATTCCTTAAGTATGATAAAAGAACAAGTGTTTTGTTGTGATGTTTCTTCATATAGCTGACGTACTTTGACACTCTAGTTGTTAGCTATGATACATATTCTTGACAATCAGCCCTTAGATCGTTATTCTTTGAGTAGTATGTATGTTGATGCTAGCGGAGGTCTTATGTATCAAAGTTTAATGGCATCTAGATACTTTCATTTTGTCTTCTGACATTCATCTGGTTGTGACAGTACACAGTAGTACTAGAAATTCATCAATTAGTATAAAAAAATTAGAACTAATGCAAGAACTAAATGTTTAATGGCGATTCTGTTAGTTCCTCTGAGATTTGCTGAACCTAATAGTAGATAATGATGATTGAGACTTTCATATGTAATATTTTTTGGCTGAATCATCCTGTGAAGTTACTCTTAGTTGGGTTAATTACAATTGTGATTTTGTTTTACTTTTTAGCTTGCAGATAAAACAGAATTTCGAAACTTGGTGGCCTATAACAGTCATTTGTAGTTGCTTAACATCTCTAGCTTGATGCGCGATAGCCAAATTATTAAAAGCAAAATATGATCTTCTCCCAAGTTCTATAAGTTGAATTAGTCTTTATTTACATCATAAATGACCAAGTCTGCAACTACAGCTACAAATTTACTCTGTAATTGGATCTTAAATTTTTATTACTATAGTTTGTATATGATGATTGAAGTATTATGCATTTTGAATTAATGATTTGTAAAGTAAACGAATAAATATAATGTTCATTTGTGTCGTATGCAAAGTATGTATGGAGAATGCTGGCCATATCTTACTAATTTTACTCTGAATCCGTCTCATACACGACTTTACCACCTTAAGATCTTTCATACTGCATTCAAGAGTGTAGACAACCCCAACTCCGCACACAAATTAGAAGACCATATCTCACAATAAAGTCATTATAATAGAAGATTTTTCTTAGAAGCATAATTATCTCGGTTATACAGATTCAACACTTTCAGCAACCTAGGACTCTTCAGTCTTTGGGTACTAGTTAGAGGGTCATACAACAGGGCTGACGGTTACAACGAATACTTTCTACAGAAGGCAGTATTCTTGTATTACAAATCAAGGATAACTAAATATAGAAATAAACATCCCCAACCAAACAGTAGAATGATGTAGGTAGAGTTGTTCCCTGATTATGTGAAATAATTGATTTAGTGAATTTCAAAGCGATCGTTTACAAAGAATCATGTTCGTTCGAAACTTCCACCTAATTGCATACGTAACCACTCTGATTGCGGTCCTCCTCCTCCTCCTCCCCCCCCTCCTGTTGCGGCTGCTAATTCTCTTGCAGCATGTGCCAACATCATACTTGGATCAAATGAGGACATTCCTAGCTGATTAACCTGGATAGATGAATTATATTAGCAGCCAAATATACTTCAAGAAATTTTCAATACAAAGTTTGTTATGTAGCCAGTGTTACTAAGACGTTAAGCTTAAGCATTTTAAATTGACCCAGAGATGTCTCAAAAACTAGCCAAATTCACTCTTTTTGTAAATTCAGGTATGTCTCCTGATGTGAAGTGGAAGGCAGAACAATCAACTGAACAAGTGCTTTATGAGCACGACTGTCAATCACAGATTAACAAGTTTTAAGACATGCAGCATATATATCATGAGCTTCCTTAATTCCTTCAGTATCAGAAGAGGAAAAGGATAAAAGACATGCAGCATATAGATCATGAGTTTCCTTAACGCTTCATATAGCACACTTCAATAACTCATATTCTCTTACAGAAGACTCTTTAACAAAAAAAAAAAAAAAAAAAAAAAAAAAAAAAAAAAAAATACTGTTCCAGTTGCTTTAGGGATTGAGTTGGTCACGTACATTACTCAACAAGAATATAGTAGATCCAAGAAGTAACAGATTGCAAGAGATCAGGTTGATTTACTAGTCTTACTAGATTAAAATGCAAAGCAATGATATTGGGTCAAGGGCTGACAGATTTTCAAACTTACATCTTTTGAATGGAATCCCCCGATAGAAGGGACCATCCCAGAATTGACTGCTTCAAGCTTCATGGACAAGAACTGCAACATAAAGATGATAAAGTGAGCAACAATCCAATAAGATTGTAAGCTTTGCTAACAATAAATGTAGGCAACATAGCAATACAAAATTAAGGATTGGAATTTGATGGGAGCCATGGGAAGCCTAATTATCAGAAAATCAAGATATATGACACAAAATTAACAACAGATATTGATCGATTACATGAACGGATTATCTTCAGACTTCTCAGATATTCAGATGTAACTCACCTCAACCTGTCGTTGTAAAGATTGTATATAGTTGATGATCTCATCAAGGACAAGTGCTTTTCCAATAACCTGCCCAAGAAAGTAAAATCAATTGCAAGAAAATGATAAGAGTGAAAGCATTTCTAAAATTCAGGGAAACATAGCTGACCACCCAGAAATTAAAATTAAAAATAAATCAAAAAAAAAAAACCCAACAACAACAGGACATATTGTATTATTTAGCTCAAAGGTGCTACACATGATAATCTAAATGACTTATTCATACCCATTTATTGATCCATAATACCAACCTTGTTGCATCCAGGAACCAAATCTTGTAAAATTTTCATTCTCTCACTTATCTTTTCTCTCCTGGCCTGCCAGAAGCAAAAACAATGAGTAAAAACTGCTGCAGAAGCCACAGGACATAGTTTTCTTCCACAAATCTAGGGATTAGGATTCAATTGCAACATAAGAACATAAGAGCAAATCTTGTTTGATGGTTGATAATTTTGTTAATCCTTTACAAGAAGAGCCTAAAACAATGGGGAAAAATATGTCACCAAAATCAAGGAGAAAATTACTCTTTCTGCAAGACTGTGGCTG